TCAGTTTGATGTCACAAGTGAAAAATTCCTCCCCAGATCTCATGCCACAGTCAAACTGCAGATACAGCAGAAATGCTGTTACCTTCAGGCTATGTGTTAAAGTATAGGTGAAACATAAATGAATTTCCTGCTCAGACTTAAGTCCCACTCCCAAGACATCTCACGTTTGTGCAAGTATCTCCAAATCAAAAAGCATCCAAAAGTCCAGAACACTTTTTGTTTGCAAGCATTTGGGATAAGGAATACTCAATCTATATTAATTTTTTAAAAATCTGCTTCCATGTACCAGAAGTCAGACAGCCCAGGTTCTAAGGCTCAAGACATTACAAGTTGGGGTCAGCTGATGATGCCTTCAATGGTTGAAGGCATCCTTCTAACTGGGCTCGTAGCCAGGTTTTATTGCAGAAGCAAACCACTCATGCTGGGGTAATTGGGAGGTGACTGGACTTGGCTCTCTCCTAAAGACCTCAGCCACCAGTTTCTGAAGTAGAAGAGTCCAAAGTCCATATTGGCAACACAGATGCAGACCCAAGTCCTTCAAAAGCTGTTTGTGCAGTGACAGACAGAACCCTATCCCTGCTGGTACTTGGGGAAGTGGGGTAGTGACTGGTCTAGTCTGAGGGCCTCCAACAAAGGGATCGAAGCTTCACATGTGTCTGCTGGTTTGGGTTTGAGCATTGCCATCTCCTTCCTTACATTTCCGATGGGATCCTACAGTCATTTATCTAGACTATAGCTGCTGCCCTTTCCTAGTGTAGACAGACTGGCTCTTAGCACAGAATTGAGAATTGTCTCTGGTCCCAGGCAGGTGTACCTGTGTGATGCCCTGGTTCCTCAGTTGGCTTTGTTCTTGTTTTCATGCTGTGTGGTTGGGCTAAGTCTATTCCCTTAGTGGATGGAAGTGAGCTGGGTTGGGCAGCCCATAGTAAGACACAGGGACTCTAGGTAGCTAAAGCATGCTTGGCAGGTAGCGGGGGGCATGTTGACAGAACTATTTCTGGGGATGTGAGGGTTGGGTGGGCATACTTATGTCTACCCATACTCAATACAAGCCATGGTGTTCCCAAAGACTTCCTGCAGTGAAACAGAGGATTCCGTCCCAGGCCCCATGAGGGCCAGAACCCCTCACTGACACAGACTCCCATGCTGTGGGGCTGCTGCACCTGACAGTAGCTGCAAGGCAGGAGATTGGAACACTGGCCTCTCGTCCCCAGGCATGGTGGGACAGGTAGACACACATACTAATCTGTCTTGACAAATGCCAGTAGATAGCCTCGTCCCCATACCTGCTCAAGGAACCTACAGAGGGGCTGTAGCAGGGTGGGCCTGGGTATATATTGGTGCCAACTGTGCTTGCAGAGGGAGCTGGGGACCAGTTGGGATTCAGTGGAGGTGGCATCTGCCCACTGATGTATTTGCAAGGTGGAACTATCTGTTCCAGTGCTGGTTTAACTGGATATTCCTTACTGGGATGAACAGCATTTTTTTTTTTTTTCCACTAGCTTGGGATAGCTACAGGCCTGTGAGGCATAGAAGGCCATGGCGTAAGTAAGGTCAACTAGCGTTTTGGTAAGAACACTCTGTAATCCCAACTTGACAGCACATTTTGCTTTGAGTGCTCACTTCCGATGCCTGTGCACAGAGAGGCATCCCCGGGCTCGCTTTGAAAGTCAGCAGGACTCACAACTGCCTTGAAGCAGCTCCTTCTTAGTTTCATAGATGGGTGTGTGATTTGACCCCTCCAGTCCTCTGTACTCTGGCCCTTCAACCTCTCTTCACTGATGGACTTGAAACCACAAAGGAAATCTCTGCCAGGCTCCCACCTGCGAGTGGAGCCCCTTGTACCTCCTGCACCCCAGGGCAGGCAATTACTCCCATAGTGCTGACTTTTTTTTTTTCTTGACGCAGGGTCTGGCTATGTAGCCCAGGCTGGCCTTGAACTCAAAGTCATGCCTCAGTATTGGTATTATAGTCATGCAGGTCTGGCCTTAACACTGACTGTGATTCCTATGTGATCACATGAGAGCTGCTCAGGCTTGTGTGTATTTTAAAATGCTGGATCCTGTTTGAGAGAAATAACTGCAGTGATCTCCCTCTCCTGAATTCATTCTACATGGAGAAATTCCAGAAAGGACCTTAATGGGAAAACCCTGCTTTCCTGGTTCGAGCATCCTGTGTTATCTCAGGCAGCCTGACCACTAAACATGACATATGTCGTCACAAGCTGCTTTGGCCATGTCACAGGCTGAGTCTTCTCTCTTGCTCTCTCTCTTTTTTTCCTTTGTGGTACTGGGGGTGAACCCAGGATCTTGCACATGTTAGGCAAGTGCTCTGCCACTGAGCCACACCCCAACCCCATGCTGAGGTTTCTGGTTGCAGCCCAAGGTACAGCTTTTTCCCTAGTGTGCTGTTTAATCAGGGCCTATGATTTAATTAGGAGGCCTTACCTGAGTCCAGGCCAATGCCTTTGTGTCAAAGGAGTGCCCCCTGGGAGCAGAACCCCTCCTTCTGCACTTGGGGGACAGACATCTCATTACTCATTCTGTCTCTAGCCCCAAAAATAAAGAATAAATAAAGTGCCAAGTCCTGCCCAGGATGACAACAGAAAGGAGTCTAATCTGACATTCCTAGTAGTTTGTTGTTTTTCTTGGAGTTTGTGCCTTGTAATCCGATTTCTACCTCCCTGTCCATGCCATTTCTTCCATTATTGAAGGACAGCTGGGATCACCCTATGCTAAACTGAGAGGTTCTGGGGCTGACCTAGTTTTAAACGTTCTCACTAGTCACAGCCATGTCATGTCACTGACCAGGTAGCTCTAAATCCAGCTTCCGCTCATTTCCCTCTGCATGACCACTTGGTGTGTGTGCCAGGACAGGTTGGGAGTCTGTACCTTCTGTCTGTGAGCATGGAACTGTGCTTGCTGCTAGCCAGTAAAGGAGCCCAGTTCCTGTCAGGGTAGATGGTCATATTGACACATTTGTGCCCAGTACACTGTCTCAGAACCCCCGGCTGGAGGGGCATGGACTTGAGTAGGGGACCGGTGACCACCAAGTCCCTGGGACTTCATCTCCTCTGTGGTGTGTCTGACCAGGTAGGGACCACGGGCTGCTTTTCACTGAAGCATATGACAGAGATGGCTCTACGCAGCCTTGGTAGTAACAATGTGGGTTAAAAGCTTGATCCTGCCTCAAGCTGTGTGTACAGGCTATCCTGTGAGATTTCACGTCAAACAAGCAGATGACGTAAAATTGGAAGAAATAGTCATGCTGGATGGCAGTCTGAAGGCTCCAAAAAGATGTGGACAGGATGAAGCAAGCCTCATGAAGCATGGTGTGATGGTTAATTTTGTCAACTCAATTGGCTTGAGAGATGCCTAGGGTGGGTCTTTGAGGGTGTTTCTGGAGACCTTATCAACGGTTTAATCCATTGATGAACTCGAAATTTGAATAGACTATTGAGAAGTGGTGGAACTGTGGAAAGTGGGGCTTGCTGGTTGAGGGAGGCGGGGCATGTCTTTTAAGTGTGTATCTTGCCCTGGCCCCTACCTGTCTGGCTCTGCTTCCTGGCTACCATGAATTGAGCAGCCTTACTCTACCACACCCTTCTGCCATGATGTTCTGCCTCACCACAAACCCAGAAACATGGAACCAGCCTACAATGGACTTCTGAAACTGAGCCAAAAGAAATCTTTCCTCCTTTAAACTGTTTGTCTTAGGTATTTTGTCACAGCAACACAGTCTTAACATACAACAAGGAGTGTGTAGCCCAGTGTTTTTTGCTTGTGTCATGGGTGTGTGGGAGAAGATTCTGCACAGGAGGGACCTCAAATGAGAACCCCCAAATTACCTAATGTGCCCTTCAGCCTATGGTCACCGCTAGGACTAAGGTGTGGCTCCAGATTCCTATTCAACTGGTCAGGGTCATGATATCCATTCCCAGTGCCTGGGAAAGTTGGGGGTCAAACCATCGTGTTGGGGCAGGTCCCTGTGAATAGTAACAGTGTCCTTGTGGGTATAGCAGCCACCCTCACTGGTAATAGAGTCCTACAGGGTCAAAATGGGTGTCGTCAGCTGGGCACCGTGGCTTGTGACTGTAATCCTAGCTACTTGGGAGGCAGAGATAGGAGGATTGCTGTTTGAAGCCAGACCCTGTCTAGAAAAAAAAACCCATCACAAAAAAGAGCTGGTGGAGTGGCTCAAGGGGTAGGCCTTGAGTTCAAACCCCAGTACCACAAAAAAAAAAAAAAGATGGGCATCATTTGGGTTGCTTGTTTATGAAGCCCTACAGGTGGGTCTTCTGCCCACCAAAATTGAACCCACTGCTGTTCCCAAGACATTGTTTTTCCTAATTCAGACACAGCTGTGTTTCCTCTGCAGCAGCTTGGGTTCTCAGCTCTCCTGGTCTCCTTTAGGAATGCTGTGCTGTAGTGATGAAGAGCCAGTGGGCTGCACTGCAGCTTGTCCACAGAGGAGGCAAAGTTGTCCCTCTTTACCTTCTGCTCTGCAGGCCAAGTATGAGCACTTTTGACAGAAGCAAAGGGCAGGATGCTCAGCATAGCTGTCCCAGGGTCTGTTTTCCCCAAAGAGCCAACTCCTGTAGGCGCCCTGAGGAACCAAGAGCAGCACCATGTGTTGACCTTGTGCTTCTGTTGTGTTGATGGCATTCTGGACTGAGACTGCTTTCCCTTTGAGCTCCATGCTGACCTGCAGATCTGCCAGTGCTCCCCACAGTGCGCTTCCCACCAGGCTGGGCACGTCGTGCAGCAGGTTGTTATCTCAGATCCCAGGGCTCCTTCTGCCCTGTTGTTTCACTATTTCATTCTTTCAGGAAAAAAAAGTCTTTACTGATTTTCTTGATGATCTTGTGTGCTGGGTTCTGAAGCAGATAAACATGGAAGTGAGATGTGCCTTGGGGCTGAGGACCACATATCCCACAAGCCTTAAGGAACACAGTTTGTGTTTCTCACCCTAACTTCCTTGTCTTTCTCCCTCCACCAAAGGGTGAGCTTGTCGGCCACAGACTGCTACATTGTGCATGAGATCTACAATGGGGAGAATGCCCAGGACCAGTTTGAGTATGAGCTGGAGCAGGCCCTGGAAGCCCAGTACAAGTACATTGTGATCGAGCCCACCCGCATTGGGGATGAGACAGCACGCTGGATCACCGTGGGCAATTGCCTGCACAAGACGGCTGTGCTGGCAGGCACTGCCTGCCTCTTCACCCCGTTGGCACTTCCCCTGGATTACTCCCACTACATCTCCCTGCCCGCTGGCGCGCTGAGCCTGGCCTGCTGCACCCTCTATGGAATCTCCTGGCAGTTTGACCCTTGCTGCAAATACCAGGTAGAGTACGATGCCTATAAACTGTCCCGCCTGCCTCTGCACACACTCACCTCCTCCACCCCAGTGGTGCTGGTCCGGAAGGACGACCTGTACAGAAAGAGACTTCACAACACGATAGCACTGGCCGCCCTGGCGTACTGTGTAAAGAAGGTTTATGAGCTCTATGCCGTATGACTGCAGAGTGGGATGCAGAGCAGAGCCACATGGCCCACAGAAGATGAGAGGACTCAGATCGCCACAGCAACACTTCGTGCTTGCTCTGTAAGGCAGCAGAGCCTGGGAAGGTGTTTGGTTTCATACTTGTTATTTTTAAAAAATAACACAGATCATGGGTGTACCAAGGGTTTTTTCAGCTCATTACACTAAGATGCAGATTTCCATAACCCAGGAGCAGGCCTGAGGCTGTGGAAGTCTGACTGGGCAGTGACATGTGGATGGAAGCCAACGCTACTGAGGGGTGTGAACACGCTTGGGGGGAGGGGGTTTAAGTATATTGTTTAACTGTACCATTCAGAGCCAACCAGAAGCTATTGACCATTAAAATTATGAGAATTTCAACTCCTGCTGTTCTCTTTCTATGCCTGTGCCTGCAGCTGTTGCCACACATGGGATGGACAGGTGGTAAGGACAGGCCTAAATTTGAGGTCTTGGAGCCAAACTCTGCCTGGCCAGTCTCATAGCTTACCTTGTCATCCTCATTGCCAAGGTCAGCACAGGGGACATGCCATTTGGAGGCACAGGAGGATAAGTTGATGAGGCCTCGAGGGCCCAGGGTTTCTTTTTGGTTCACTTGGGAACCTTGAGTCCAGCCCTCATCCAAAGATTCTGATTTAGGAGGATATAGAAGCTAACATTTTTGCCCTTCTAATGCACCAAAGTTGTTCTAATGTGGACTAAGTTCACTGCATGTGTGGGAAGAGTCCTTCCAAGCAGTCTGGAAAGCACTCAGGCCTGGGGGCTGCCACTTCTACAAGAGCTCAGTCCTGTGTCTCTCCCTCAGTCTAGTGGTGGATATGTACTGTCTTCCACCTCCAAGGCGTTGCATAGGTGGGAAATTTTCATCTCTTCCACAAAGGCTGAGGCCTCACCTCAGTTCACCAGCTGTCCTCAAAGAGCCCCGTAGCACTTCTGAAGACAGTGTTTAAAGAGACCCCAGGCAGACTTCCACCAGGCTATTCAGGTGCCATTGGGAAGGTCTGGTGCTAGAGGCACAAAGGGGTGCTTACCTGGAATGCAAAGGGAGTTAGGACTCGGGGTCTCCATTTTGGTAAGGGAGATCCAGAGCTTCTAAAAGATTTTAAAAAGTGACCCATGGCTCACAGAAAGTTCAAGAAACTTTGACTTAATTCCAAGGGCCCTAGAAATACTGCTCGCTCAGTTGTGTGATGGTACAAGACAGTGTTAGGTGCACAGTGATGTTTACATGGCAGTTTGGCAGTGAGAACAGTGGTAAAGATAACTGCCTTGGCCACAAGCCATCCAGACAACAGGGCTCATCACCATTGTGCAGGGCTTGAAATCCAGCGCCAACGACCCCTCCAGAATCCAAGCACTAGCTTTGAGCTTGCTGGGCAGATAGAATGGTAGCTGTTTTTTTTAACAAAAAATGGCCCAGATTTGTAAAGGTAGCCCCACACCTAGCCTGACTGTGTTTTTCCTGCACATCAGATTTCATGGGGGAGGTAGCTGGAACCTTGACAGGGTGGGGACCTCAAGTCAGCTGGGTGAATGTCCTTACCCAAAATAGAAAACAGTGACAAATGGGGGCTCCTTCACCATTTCCCAAGCTGCATGGAACAAAGTGACTCGTTGGATGGACTAACCCAGATTCTGAGATGCCTCTTGGTTACTTGGCCCCTAGCCAGGGTGATGCACAGGCAGCAGGGCAGGGGTGGGTGTGCCTAAGGCAAGGTTGTAGGAAGGTAAGCAGATGCATGCCTGCCCTCCCACCTAGACCAGTAGTCCTTCACAAGTGGCTCATGCTGGACAGTGACAGTCCACAGTGCTTTCTCCAGTTGAGAGGAAGAAGGCCATATGACCTGGGCCCTCCTGTGAGAAATCCACCTGTCCAGGACACTTCAGGGAATGAATGGCTCATACAGCAAGCCCAGCAAATCAGACAAGTCTTAACTGCCTACCCCACCTACTTTCAGAGGAGCAAAGAGCCCTGTGTAAGGGGACAGCTGACAAGGGAATGTGGAGAGGCAACCCTAGCAAGCTTTGTCTTCCTATCTCTTCTCAGCCTCTCTCTCTCTTCCCAGCTTTCATATCTGCCTCAGGCACTGGGCAGGTTAGTTCTGCCATGAGCTGCAGTAAGTTCAAGTGTCACTCATGCTTTCCCCTGCACTGTGCAAAGGTGCTGTTTTTGGAGGTGGGCAGCAAAAGGTGGCCTGTTCCTGCCTAGGGAACAGGGAGATATCAAGAGGTTTGAAGAGCAAAGTGAAAAGTGTCTGAACTTACAGATATCTGAAGGTAGAATCAACTAAAAAATGTGTTTTGGGTTGGGTTTTTTTTCCTTTTTTCTTGTGGTACTTGGTTTTGAACTCAGGGCTTCACACTTGCAAAGCAGGCACTCTACCACTTGAGCCACATGTCCAGTCCAGAAAAATCATGTTTTTAAGATCTTCCAGTACAATTCAAGGATGAAGAAGGGGAGTCTGGTACCAGTGTCTTACAGCTGTAATCCCAGCTACCCAGGAGGCAGAGATCAGTAGGATTGCGATTTGAGGCCATCCTGGGCCTATTTTGAAAATACCCAACACAAAAAGGGCTCAAGTGGTAGAGTGCCTGTCTAGCAAGCATAAAACCCTGAGTTCAAAACCTAGACTGCAAAAAAAAAAAAAAAAAAAAAAAAAGAACCCTGACAGCAGGCCCTGCCCTCTGTCTCCAGGCCAAGAGCACTCACCTGATGCTATGGTGTCTTTAGCACCTTTCCAGATTTGGTTGCCTCAAGAATAGTGTGGCCTCATGCTTGGCTTTTGGCAAACAGCTGTATGTAGGTAGCCTTAAATAGTTATTCAGTTTGAATTTCTATTTATACAGTAGAATATAGCTTCTAAAGTAAGTTTTAGATTTTGGCAGTACTGGGGTTTGAACTAAGGCCTCATGCTTGCTAGGCAGGTACTCACTCTACCATTTGAGCCATGCCCTCACCCCTTAAAGGTTTTAAATATTAGGTAAAGAAGCCACCATGCATTAGGACATGGCAGAGCATAAGGCTGTACATAGGTTATGTGAACCTTTTAGTGCCACAGTGCTCCCAGCTGCCTGCCACAATGACTCCTAAACCAACACCTCAAAAATGTATTTGATGTCCCATCTTTGATGACAGAGTATGCTGTTGCTAAACTTGCATTCCTTTGAAGGCAGTGTAATCCATGGATGGCTTTTTTTTTTTGCAGTATGGGACTTGAGTTCAGGGCCTACGCCTTCAGCCACTTCACCAGCCCTTTTTTTGTGATGGGTTTTTTTGACATAGGATCTTGCAAACTATTTGAACCACAATCCTCCTGAGTAGCTAGGATTACAGGTGTGAGCCATCTTCTTTAAGGGAGAGGAAGGGACAGCAGCTGGACATGGGATCTTCTGAGAGTGGCAGTCCACAAGTATCTGAGAGGTTCCTTTTAGGGAAGAGCCCTCTGACTGTGGTTTACTGGGAACCTGCTGTGTGCTACACGATTTTATTGGTTTTGGGACTTGGGTTCACCTGCTGTGTCTGTCTTGACACCAGTTCCTCCCTGGTGCTGGTATCTATTGAACACTAAGGAGCCCTTTCTCTTCCCTGTCAGGGAGGTGATGGTTTACATGGAAAATGAAGAACCACATGTGATGTCTGTAACTCCATTCATCCAAGGCACCTGGAACATCCAGGACTCTGGTGTGAGCCCAGGAAGGTCACCAGAACTGATGATCCATTCCGCCTCCCAGGAAATTTGAAAGCCTCTAGCACCCCAATCCTGTCCTCGCTGTGTCCATTTTTAATCATCTCTTGGGGGCAGGTGTTTAAGAAAGACGCTCAAGCCAGGCCCAATGGCTCATGCCTGTAATTCTAGCTACTTGGGAGAGTGAGAGCCATCCAGAGGACTGAGGTTTGAGGTCAGCCCAGGCAAAGAGTTTGAGAGACCACATCTCCAGAATAACCACAGTAAAATGGACTGGAGGTGTGGCTCAAGCTGCAGAGCACTTGCTTTTGAAGTGTGCAGCCTTGAGTTCAAATCCCAGTCCTATGAAAAAAAAGGAAGAGAGCACAATAGGGATGGATTTGGGACATAGTGCAAGATGCTAGCATGATACATTAGGATATTTTTTTCTGATTTGGGGAAATCTACAGTGAATCTACTATGATTTCAGCAATAGAAAACATTTTTTTCCTGAGCTTCAGAAATGAAGTTGACCCATTCATGTCTTTTTAATAAAGCAAAAAGGTGGACTCAGGTGTTCTGTCTCTGCCCTAACTGGTTTACCACTAAGGAATCCATTCCACCAAAAGACCAGGTACTGCCTCAGAACCTCTGGCCACCCGGTCAGTTTCTGAGGTTTCCTTTCCTAAGGGATGCCTAGGGCTAGGCAGGGGTCCTCTTTTTGGCTCTATCTCTTCAGTAAGTTCATATGCTGGCAGAAGTGCTCTGTGCACTACTGGGTCACGATGAGAGTTGACAAGGATATGAGGAATTCCTGTTGGTGCTAAGGCCGACATCACTTGGGATAGCCAAGTAACTGTGTAACACACTGGCCTGTTTTCTACAGAGAGTGAACTATTACAGGACCCTGAGCACAGGAGGTGGTATCTGGACCAAAACAATTAGGTAAGTAATCTTGGGTAAGTCAGATATGAAAACTGGGTCAGGTGCTGTGACATGACCAAAATGACTTGTGGTTGCTGGTGGGGGCTGGAATGGAAAGGACACACGGTTCTTTTAGTCCTTGAGGACCATGACTCTTTAACATTCCAGTCATTTATTTCATATTTTTAGTGTTAAAGCATAGCTCCATATTTACTCCTTAAGTGTTTACCCCTCACCCCAGGAAAGAAGTTTATTGCTAGTTTTGCTTTCAATTCTCCGCATCAGGGCTGAGCAGGAACCTGCAGAAGTGTTTCTAATGACCCCCCCACCCCCCACCAGGAAACAGACCTCCACTTAGGTGAAGGTATCAACACATGCAGTATCTCTGTGAAGCAAGCACATCTAGGAAGGTGTGCTGGTCAGGCTGGCTGGAGCTGCCGGCTCTGACCAGCATCAGGAGGTCTTGGACTTCTGCTCCTTTTTGGCTCTGGAGGCCATGATGCTGAAGAAGACTCCAGGAGCCAGAGTTCGAAGATAAATGGCCAAGGATGGCACTAAGTCAGCCAGGATCACATCTTTTCTCTTCTTCTTCACGGCAGCAAGAATGTTCTGGGCTACCTCTGCAGGGCTTCGGCCCTGGGCTGTGTTTTTGTCCATAGCTACAGTAAGCAAAAGAAAAGGAACACATGAACTTAGAGACAGAGGTCCCCTAAGGACCTGAGCCAACGTAAGCCTTTAGATCAGCTTGCAGCAGTCCCACCAGAAGCTCTCCCAGTCTGGGGAAGTCAGTGGCAACCCCAGCCCCGACAGTTTTTTGTCCGAGGAAAAGAAGAACCAATTTGCAGCTCAAAGTGGTAAGTGGGGGTAATGGAGCTATGGGCAGGAAATGGGGACAAGACAGACTGGAGACCCAGTCAGTGCTTGCAACCAAATCAAGTCCATCTACCTGGTGGTCTGAGGTAAAAGCAGAGGCCAGCGCAGTGGGCCGTCAAACAGTGAGCCCCTCATACCACCTTCCTGCCTTGGAAATTTTTGTGTCTGGAAGAACCAATGACTAGGGGATGTTGTACCCTCCCCTTTGTGCTGGGTAGCTGGGCTTCAGGGCTGCCAGAGGGAGATGGGGCGATTATCTGACCACCTTGTGTACTACCAGCACACCAAGTCAGGAGTACATACACATCCCGGCTCCTGATGTCAGGTGGTAGCTGGATGACAGACAGCAGTACCTACTAGGGACTAACAGACATGCAGCTATCTGTCTCCTGCCTCTGTAACTTTCTGTTGTGAAGAGACTTGCTGCAGGACAGCAACTGGTACCCAGGATGGGACGGTCTCAGTTCAGGTTTGGCTAGCCCTGGCCAATCACTACAGCACAGATGCAGCAGAAAGCACATTCTGAGAAGCCAGGCTTGGCAGGGCAGTACTGGAGAGAACAGGAGCCTATTCTAAACCTAGGAAGACAGGGCTGAATCCAGAACTCATGGGTCAGCTAACCTAAGAGGCATGCTGAGCTGGGCTATTCAGCACTGCCTCCGATTACATCACGATGGAAATTTAGAGACCACTGCACCACACCCAGCCTCACTCCAACTGGCCCCGAACGCAGTCATTTCTCCAACACACTGGGCAGGGACCACTTAAGTCAACTCTTCCTCCTGCCTCCTCTACATACATATACATACATGCATCTTACTATGAGGTTAATTTACTTAGTCCTAATTGTGATAATCCCCCTTGGGTCCTAGGATCTGGGTTGCTGGAAGTTTGGTGGCATTTTAGCTTAGGAACTTCCTTTCAATCTTGCAAAGTCCTCTATCTACAGAGGTCTTTTTGAAAGATTCAGGCTAAGGGTGGTTCTCTGGGGTAAATGAGGATTATGTAATAGTCCATATCTACAACCAACACTCATGTCAAATTTTTTAGTTTTATATCCCCAAATGAAAATGACCAAAGAATCACTGAGATAAGACAGCATGTCTTGCTGTGGCTAACCAGTAGTTTTTCATAGAGGAAAGAGAAACCAGGCCTCACCTCCATATCTGGAGCCGTCAGCAGTGACAGCATTTACAGAGAGGTTAGTGCGGATGTAGCCGGGGCTGATCACAGTCACCTTGATACCATCCTGCTCTATCTCGGCCCGCAGGCAGTCAAAGAATGCCTGGGTAGCATGCTTGGAGGCTGCGTCTGCAGATGTGGACAGAGGCAGAGAGGGCTCTGATGTGATGAGACCCGAAACCCACCCATTCACCTCCTTTAAAACCTGTGTTCATCATTCAAGATTATAGGATCATAGCAGTATTCATTTCCTGACTTTGAGAAGTGCACTGTGTCCTTGTTCTTAGGAAACAAGTAGGTGTAAAATGACATCATGCCTCCAACTTCCTCTCAAATGACACCTGAAAAAAAGTTTCATGTGTGTGTATATACACAGAGGACATGCTAAAGTGAATAAGGGAGGCTACAGACCTGCCACGTGGCTCTGGCTTCCCAGTCCTCCTCTGGGATCTGCTAGTGACAGACCTGGCTGCAGTTATTCCCAGCCAAGCGTGCTGCTGGTGAGCCTCCCTGCATGCATGGCTGGGTGAAGCCCATGGTTCCTATGTACTTCTGCCAAACTTTCATCAGAAGGAGCCAGAAAGCTGACTCCACCTGCGAGATAGCCACCTCTGCCTGGCAACTGCTCCTCAACCCTGTGCAAAGTACTTTGAAGGGCATGGAGACCCTAAAGTGATGTTCTTGGAGAACAAACCACACATCTCCACAGAAAATCAGTTCCCTCCAGTTTGGAGTCATAAATGTTTTAGTGTTGGTAGAAAAGGGCCTCCATCAACCAAGCACACATGAAGGGAAAAAGCAAGGAAGTGTCGGAAGTCCCGGGAGGCAGCAACAGTATCTGGGTGGAGGTCCTGGGCTGATTGAGCAGGTTGTGGGTGGGTGGTGAAAACTGCTCTTGTCTGCTGTGATTCTCAGAAGACAGCCAAGCCCCAGGACTGGGAAGAATGGGCAATCCTAGGTGTCCCCAAAATAGAAGGCAGAAGGTGATTTGCTGACAGCTGGGTCTCCCCAATGGCTGTCAGGCTGTGGGTTCTCAGCTGGGCTGTGGTGCCGAATCCTCATGACTGTCAGCTTCAGCTGACCCATTTGGGCACAGCGCTGGGCACCTGACTGGATCATCTGATGTGGTTCTCAGTAGCAGCGGAGAGAAATGAGGCTGTTCCCCAGTTTAGGGGTGGAGGGGCAGCTACACATCAGGCTAACTAACTTGCCCAGGAGACTCAGCCAGATTCAGTCTGGTTACCATCTCCAGACCAATCATATATTTCTATTTCAGTCAGCAGACAATTAGAGAATAAAAGCCAAAAGTTGAAGTAAAGTATGGAAGTAATTTAGTACCAAGAACTCCATATATCCTTTACCCAGATTTTCCCATTAGTAACATTTGCCTCAGTTGCTTTACCATTTGTGATTATACAAAGTTTTTTTTTTTTTCCTGAACCATTTGAGCAGCCTTCAATGGCTGTCCTATGCTATCAGGGTTGAAAAAGAATACTGGCAAACAGAGAACAGCCACAGAAACATAAGGATGTAGTGCTTTTCCATTTACAAAGGACATCTCCAATTGTCTCATTTCATCTTTGGGCAAGCCCCAGGAAGCATGTATGATCGTTTTAAGTCACACAGATAAATAAGTAAACATTGGGTCAGAAAAGTTAAGTGACTGGTCCAAGGACATATAACCAGAACCAATAGGTAGAGCTGGGATTCAGATCTTTCTTGAAGGGAAGAATAAGCTTTTCTTCACTGGTTGGCTATACCTTTCACTGGATGTTTGCCACTATTCTTTCATAGTGCTAAACAGCTCAGCCCTGCCTTCATGACAAGGCTATGGCTGGCCAGGTGCATCAGGCCTTGGAGGTAGGTGACAGCAGATGAGGCTGTCCCACATCAGTGCTTCCTTTCAGAGGGTGAAGTAGAGAAAAAAGTGACTAAGGCAGTGTGTGAAATTACCTTTAAAACATTAAAACAAAACAAACCCCACCCCAAATCAGAAACTACATTCTATGTGCTGTAGGTGGGTGAAATGACATTGTAGGTTATAACACAGCCACCTTCCTATATGGAGATCATGTGAACTGGAAGCCAATTGGGCAGTTTTAATTTTTTGGTCCTACCTAATATTTCTATTTTTTGAAATTTACCTTATATGAAATCCCCCCATGAGTTCCCAGAGATGCAAATATTCAAGGATGCCCTGTGTCACAGATCGTTGCTAAAAGCCTGAGGCATAGGAAAAATTCTCCAGTGTCCTGGAAAATGGCTAAGTCATTCATGTCACATCCATTCAACAGATTACTGTACATCCACCCAAAAGGATGAGGTAAATTTATATGTGCTTGCTAAGTGGAACAAGCAAGTTGCAAAACAGTATGCACAGTGGGATCCCATTTTTGTACGTTTTGATTATATGTAGAAAAAAATTGGAGGAAAAAAAAATATGCCCTAAGGTAATGCAATGATTTTTTCTGGGAAGCCACTTGTCATTAATAAAAGAGGCAAGCATGTGCAGTGCCTAGAGTCCAGGGCAGCAGCAAGCACCTCACCCATAGCAACCCTACAGGCTGGATGGACACACAGGGGTGAGTACGCTTGCCCAAGGTCACACGGGCACAAGGAGTGGATCTGGGATTTGAAAGAGGCATGTGGCTCCAAAGAACATATTCTAATGAAGTTCCTTTGACTTCTATATAGGGTGTTTCTACACCACCTGAATCTGGATAGTAAAGATACTATTTTCATAATCAGGAAAAATGTTTTGGGGAAGGGAGAAGGAAGTACTCACATGCTGACCGATAAGGAATGCTGATTCTTCCCTGGATGCTGCTGATGGCGACGACGTGGCCTTGCCTCCTCTTAATCATGGAGGGCAGGAGTGCTGAGGGGAGAGGAAGGACTTACCCTTTTCCCAGTCACCATGCGTGACATTGCCGGAGGTGACTGGTGAAGATCGTGTAGCATGAAGAGCCATGCAGATGGGGAAGTGAAGCCTAACAACCCATAACAGGCAGCACTGTCCCCTTATTCTATGGGAAGCTGGTCCCTGCACTGAAGTCTGTGGCTGCACATCAAAATATACCCACCCCATGGGGCTCCAGACAGTATGGAAAGGAAATGTGGGTGATGCTGTGCAAGTGACTGTTACTAATGCACAAAGCAGATAAAATGCAAAAAGCAAAAAGCAAACATGTGAACTGTAACGAGCATACCCACTGCAGGGTCAAACAGCAGAGGGGGACGTATCTTGCCAAAAAGAAACCACGTGGAACAAAAGGCATGCCAGCAGATCAATGCCCTTTTCTTTTTAACTCAAGATGTTACCTTTTGTTAGAGCAATAGGGCCAAAGTAGTTTATCTCCATGACCCTCTTGTCTACATCCACTGTGGTGTCCAGGATAGTGCCACGATAGCTGATCCCAGCATTGTTGACAAGGATGTCCACATAGCCAAAGCACTGCAGGATCTGGGTTGCTGCAGCAGTAATGGCCTTGGGGTCTGCGAGGTCGAAGGTCACCGTGTAGGGTTTGTGTGTGTGCCTCTGGCCAAATACAAGAAACCAATGCTCCTTCTGAGTGACAGCTACATGAGCTATGTGTTCCTGCTTTTCAGAGTACTGGGACTGGCCCATTGGGCACAAAATGACATAGGCTATAGCAACCATGTTCTAAAGAGATGCAGCCTAGGGGTTTCCTGCCTTCGGTTCTCACAGCTGGCCCAGGCAACTTTTCTCTGAATTGAAGATGGCTATGTCCAGATGTGGCCACAGGCTCCCCTTACCTTCACCAACCAGACTGCAAGTCCCACAGGGCGGGATCACACGTGGTGTGGACTGCTATAGCAGATTACCACAGAAGCTATTCATCTTAGCCGCCCATCATCATGACATTCAACAGTGAACCATGGAGAGGTGCTGTCCTTCCCAGGTAAAGTATTCACTCATTTGTTTATGAAACATTATTTACATATCCCCTGTGTGCCAGGCACTGGGACAGAGCACAAAAAGTAAGACACACATTGTTCCTGACCCCCAAAGCAAAGTCTAACGAGGGAAGAAAGATAAATTCTTCAATTGTAAAGGATGCTACAAAGAAGTATAGGGTGCTAGAGAAATGAGTAGCTGAACAAAGTAACTTGGAAGGGTTCCCAATAAAAGTGAGGTTGGAAAGAAAGCAAAAGATGAGTGAGGGTGAAGTCAGAGAAGATGGCAGAATAGGAAATATCAGGAACCCATCTCTCCTAGACAACCGCATTGGCAGAAACTCTCTGGAGGCACTTTTTTGGGACTGGAGTTTATCTGAATACTTGTAGCTTCCAGGGGACTGCTTTGCTTGTAAATTATAGCAAACTTTGGTCAATTTCAGGTATCAGGTTGGGGTGGCTAACACACACACATCTGGCATGCAACTGGGAAAAAGGTGATCTGTGTTTCTGGTGCAGCTTGTGGGAGCAGAATGGATGATAAGGACCTTGTTCTCCAAATACTGGTGATCTGCTGCTGATTACTGAGGTGCAGCATGGGGATAGGGTTTCAACCACTACCAGCTAAAGCAGCTTTCAGTGGCTGTCAAGGACCTGTGATTATTGTAAAACTGTATTCAAAACTGTAAGTAATTCTCTAGCAAACGTTTCTGAGGAAGTCGTGATGCTTGATTTACTAGACATTAAAACTGACTTTACATTGTTCAAAGAGTAAAGACAGACACAGACAAAGGTAAGAAAATGGTGACTAAAAGTGAGAATATCAATAAAGGAAAAAATTATAAAAAGACATTCTAGAACTGGAAAGCACAATAAGTGAAATGGAAAATACTCTAGAGTTCAAAAGCAAATGAGGTAAGAGGAGAGAAACAATTGAAATTAACAAGTCTGAGGAAGAAAAAGAACAAATAAAGTAAAGAGAAAGCCTAAGAGATTCATGGACTCCATCAAGCAGGCCAACACACACAATTTGGAGATCTGAGATGGGGATCTAAGAAGAGAGAGAGAAAATATTTAAAGAAATAAATCTATACATCTAATACCAACTAGGACAAACTCAGTGACCCACACTGAGGTAAATTATAATCAGACTATTGAAAGACAAAGAATCTTGAACACAGCAATAGAGAAAATCTCCTAACATAAGATTGTCAGCAGCTGACAATGGGCTAGTAAGCTGGTGGCTCACACCTGTAATCCTAGCTGCTCAGGAAGCAGAGATCAGAGGATTGCAGTTCGAAGCCAGCCTGGGCAAATGGTTTGCAAGACCCTATCTCAAGAAAACCCTTAAAAAAAAAAAAGGCTGGTGGAGTGGCTCAAGGTATAGGCCCTGAGTTCAAGCTCCAGTAACACAGAGACACACACATAAAAAAGATTGTCAGCTGATTTCTTATCAGAAACCTTGAAGGCCAAAAGGCAGTGGGTTGATATATTCAAAGTGATGAAATTAAAAAATTAAGTCTACCTCTGGCACATCTGTCTTTCAAAAATGAAGGAGATTAAAACATTCCCAGATAAAAGCTGAGGAAAGTTCATTAGCTCTTCCCCACAAGAAATGCTCAAGGGAATCCTTCATGTTTGAAATGAAAAGAAGTTAAGACAGTAACTCAAAGCCACAGGAAGAAATAAAGGTTTCCAGTTAGGAAATAAATGAGCAATTGTAACAGCTAGCACTACTGTAATTTTGATTTATAGCTCTACTCTTTATTTTCTACATAAAAGACAAATGAATAAACTATCATTAACCTTAGTGGGATAACAATGTATAAAGATATAAATTGTGACATAAATATCAGAAAATGAGGAGAACTGTATGGGGCTGAGTTTTGGATGCTACTGAGAATTTAAATTAGTATTATAACTTTAAGATGTTAAATGTAATCCTCATGGTAACCATAAAAATATACATGTAAAGAAATAAGAAAGGAATCAAAGCATTTTACTACAAAAAATCAACTAAATACAAAAGAAGGCAGGAAAGGAAGAAATGAGGTACAAAAACCTGAGGCATACATAAAATCAAAATGGCAGAATTAGTTTCCTCTTTTCAGTTATTATATCACATGTAAGTACATTAAACTCTCTAATCAAAAGACAGAGATTGCCAAAATGGCTTTTAAAAAAAAAGATCCACAATATATTTTGTATAAAAGGCCCACTTTAGATCTAAAGAGAAAACAGATTAAAAGTGAAAGGATGAAAAAAACATAATCTGTATAAATAGTAACCAAAGGAGAACTGGGGTCCCCATCCTAGCATCAAGCAAATAGACATAAATTGAAAAAGGTTACAAAAAAAGGACATTATATTGTAATAATAAAAGTTTATTACAATAAGCTATAACAATAATAAACATTTAAGTACCTAGTAACCCTCTAAATAAATGAAGCAAAATTTAACAGAACTGAAGGGAAAAACAAGTTCTATGACAAGATTTTGATACTTGAAATAATGCTTTCAATAATGGACAGGACACCAAGACAGGAGACCAATAAGGATACAGAGGACTTGAACAGCACTAAAAGCAACAAGGCCTAACAGACACATATAGAACGCTCCATCCAACAACAGCAAAACATACATTCTTCTCAAGTATATATAGTACATATGGTATATGTAAACAAAGGAAATAATAAAGATTAGGGCAGAAATAAAACAATTAAGAAAAATCAATAAAACCAAAGGTTGGTTCTATGAAAAGAAATAAATAATTTGAGAAACCATGAGCTAGACCAGCAAAAAAAAAAGATGAAAACAACAAAATCAGAAATGAAAGTAGGAACATTACTGATGACCCAACAGAGGTGACATTTCTATGAATAATCAATATGGCAATAAATTAGGTTACCTAGAAGAAATGGACAGATTCCTTGAAACACTGGAGGTGTGGCTTTCGTGATAAAAGTACCTGCCTATCAAGTACAAGATCCTCACTTCAAAGCCCAGTACTGCCAAAACCACAAAAGACCCCAAAACTCCCAACAAAGACAAGTCCTGGCTCAATTAGCTTCACTTGTGAATTCTACCACATATGTAAAGCGTTAACATCTATCGTTCTCATGCCCTTCTAAAAAAAACTGAAGAGAAACACTTCCTAATTCATTCTATGAGCTCAGCATTACTTTGATATCAAAGCCAGCTAAAGATATCACAACATAAAAACTTACAGAATGAAATTGGACTGTTTAATACCACATATTAAAATTAATTCAAATGGATCAAAAATCTAAATGCAAGAGTTAAAACTATAAAATTCATAGAAGAAAACATTGGGGGAAGATCTTCACGACATTGGAGTTGGCAACAATTTCATAGATATGACACCAAAATCTTAGAGAAACAAAAGAAAGGTACAGATACAATGGATTTTGTCAAAATTAAAGACTTCTGCCCATCAAAGGGTACTATCAAAAAATGAAAGGAGCCAGGTGCTAGTGGCTCACGCCTGTAATCCTAGCTGCTCAGGAAGCAGAGATCAGGAGGATTGTGGTTTGAAGCCAGCCTCATAGTTCGTGAAACCCTATATCAAAAAACCCCATCACAAAAAAAGGACTAGCTCAAGGAGTAGCTCAAGGTTAGGCCCTGAATTCAAACCCCAGTACAGCAAAAAAAAGAAAGCAAAAGGACACCAGCACAGATGGCTGGCTCATGCCTGTATTCCTAGCTACTCGGGATGCAGAGATCAGGAGGATTGCAGTTTGAAGCCAGCCCTTGGCAAATAGTTCCAAGACCCTATCTTGAAAAAAAAAAAAAAAAACCCAAAACAAAACAGGGCTGGTGGAGTGGCTCAAGTGGTAAAGTGACTGCAAGGGTGAGGCCCTGAGTTCAAACTCCAGTACCGCCACCAAAAAAAAAAAAAAAAAACCAAAAAACTCAATACCGAAAAAGGACTGGAGGTGTGACTCAATTGATAGAACACCTGCCTAGCAAGCATGAGGCCCTGAGTTCAAACCTCAATAGCAACAAAAAAACAAAACCTTTTTGGGTATAGATAGTGGTTAATAGTTATACATTGTGAATTCATTTAATACTAATGAATTATATATACCTACAGATAGTTGAATCAATATTATGTACAATTTATGACAATTTAAACATTTTAAGCCAGCTGCTAGTGGCTCACACCTGTAGTCCTAGCTACTCAGGAGGCAGAGATCAGGAGGATCTCGGTTCAAAGTCAACTCCAAGCAAATAGTTCGAGAGATCCTATCGCAAAAAACCCATCACAAAAAAAGACTGGTGGAATGACTCAAGTGGTAAGAGCATCTGCCTAGCAAAAGTGAGGCCCTGAGTTCAAACCCCAGTGCCCCCCGCCAAATTTTAAGTCATCATCAACCCCCACCAGATGATTAGAGATCAGCCAGGGGGTGAGGAATAGTGAGTGCGTCCCCTCATAGGGAACTTCCATGGTGGTAGCCTAGGGATGTGAACTGCGAGGCACTTCGCCCTCCTCAGGCTATGTGCCACTTTGCTTGGAGGAGCACTGCTGTGGGCTGCTGTGTCCTCAGATGTTCATGGAAGACAGATGGCAGCCCTTCCTTCCCTACAGAAAGCTCACCCTGGGCTCACCTGTGAGGCATGAGAAGCAGTGAGCTCTCTGGTGAGCTCTTCGAGGGCCTCCACATTCCGGCCACAGAGCACCAGCTTAGCTCCCGCAGCGTGGAAGACTTTGGCACATTCTAAGGGAAGAGAAAAGAACCTTGACAGTTGAGGACATCCAGTGCCATTCTTCCTCAACGCAGCTCAGTTGAGAGTGTGTGTTTTTTTCTTCACACATTCAAAGTGTATGCATTGAACTAGGAGCTAGGGCCCAATGTAGAGCCCCCTGTCTAGATGTGTGACACACATCTGCAAGGCAAAGAGCAAGGTGACAGGGGTGGACAGACTTGTGAAGTACTATGCTAAGAACTTTCCATGGTGCTCTTATTTAACCCTGAACAACTCTGTAAGCATCACCTCACTTGAAGCTGAGGAAGGCTAGAAAGACTGAGCAAAGTTCCCAAAGACCAGGCAGGGAACCTATCCCAATAGGTTAGGACAGGCAGGCTGGTGGTTATGATTCTGTGGTTTCCACAGGCTACGTTTCAACACTACCTGACCTGTTCCTCAGGTCACACAAACACAATTGGCACAGATCTACGAGGGGCTGGCACGGTTCTATAGAAAATCAGAGCAGAGGACTGGGTGAGGAGTTGGGGCCCTCCCAGTTCTGGCTTCCAGAAACTGCTGAGACAGAGGGAGCCACATGCAAAGCACCTCAGAGGCTGTGGAAGGTAATAGGCCTTGCTGGGCTGGGGGAGGGGTTCAGGCAGCAAATGATGCAGGAGGAGGGAGGTGAAGGAGAATGTGGGGGAAGAGGAGGAGGAGGGGGGTTGTTTCTTGCTTCTTGCTTGTCCTTCACATGTTGCAGCTCACTGTGTGGTGCTGGAAACCGAAGGCTATGGAAAGGCCACGCTGTTCATTATCAACAGAATAGACTTGAGCTGGACTTTCTGTGTTCAACTCTGACTTCCCTCACTTAACTGATTCTAAGATCTTGGATAAGTTACAGCCTGTTTCTTCCTTTCTCCTTCTTTAACACAGATAAAAAACTGTCTAATTGAGAGGGCTTTGTGAGGATGAATGAGTTAAAGTAGGTAATCACTTCTATAGTGCTCGGTAGATAAAAAGCACAATGAAGTAGTCTTTTTATACTTATTGTTTTTAATACTTGTCCTTAATATTTGAATATTTCTAAGCTGCCTTTTAAAGATGTTCTATGAAGTGGTTGACGGTGAAAACTGAAATGTTCTTCCCAAGATTTGGTCTCCCACAAGTGCTCATGAGCAGATCTGTGCAGGACAACTGGAACCTTGGCTCACCATGACACAGTCAGTGAGCTGCCCACAGTTCTAGACCCAATCTTAAAGGCTCAGGTGGTCGAGTGGCTTCTCAGTCCCACTGGCTCAAGGAAGAGAAAGGCCTGCTCTGGAGGGAAATTCCATCTCTGGGAGCCATGCAGCAAGGGGTCAGCAAAGGATCTCAAGAGATCGCCTGGGAAGGGACAAGGTGAGAGGGACCCTCACAGAAGTGTCAAGCTTCCTTAAACTTTGAAGGTCCAGAACAGGAGGGGAGAAGAAATTCCTGGGTCCTTCAGGAAGGAGAGAAGGTGCTCTGCATCCTAACCATCTCATGGTGTGAAGCCCTCTCTGTACCCTGCAGCTTCCCCTTCAGACCACCTCCTTCAGCTCCCCACTTCAGCCTCTCACACAGGGTTCACTGGCCACATTCAGGACATTGCCCCTCCCCGTCCCCCTCCTCCATGCTCTTGAACAGCTTTCTGGAAGGAGGTGCTAAGCAGACTAATGAGCACACTTTCAAGGATGCCACACATCTTTGAAGAAGCTTTTGTTGTCTGTTCTCTGCTCATCTTGATGAAGGGCAAATGCCCCAGCCACTGCTTTTTCCTGTCCCTGGGTGGTCTCATCTGGCCTGGTGGCAGAGCAGCAAAGGAATCGGGTGCAGATAGGGTGGGGACTGCAGTCCAAGTCGCTACCAACATTCCTGAGGCGAGAGCTGCTTGTCTGATTTACTGAATCATTCCCAAAGATCCGGAACCTTGGTCCTTGTTAGCTTCCTCATCCCATTTTGTCCTGTCCTGACTAACATACAGGACATTTTGTGAGATCCCACCAACAGGACCAAAGGTTCGAGAAGGCATACTGGTGTATAAGCGACTTCTGGAAAATGATCACCTGAATTCTGATCAAACTTTGCTTCCTAGCAAAGCCAAGAGGAGGAAATTAAAGTTTGTTTAGGGAGGGACAGAAATGAAAACAACAGATGGAAAGGATTCCACTTTCATTTCTCAAAAAAGCTGGGAGGCAGGAGAGTCAAAGGAAAAGACTACAATTCCAACATGCCAGTTAGGGCTACAGACAAGTCCCCTGTACTGCTGGCATGCCTGGGCTGTAAATCAGGACAGCTGTGCATAGCCATGATTCAGGCTGGCTGAAGTAGGCATCCAGAACATTCTGTTTGTTTAGTCAGTGGTGCCTCTGTTCTACAAGGTCAAGCTTAAATGCACAAAATAAAAGACAAGATGTAGAAAGCTGTCTGAAGACTCATCATGTAACTCCTGACCAGAGCAGCTGACATGGCAGGCCCCCGAGGACAATATGGATCTCCCTCAAAGATAGGGGACAGCTTCCTTGGCAGCATCAACTGTGTCTGTACCTGAAACAGCAGGATAAGATGTTCCTACTTTGTGTGGATGAAGGGACTCCTGTCCAAAGATGTTAAAAAGGACAGAATATAAGCAGTGACTGGAACCCAGGAAAGACCTGACAATCATATGCTACGCACATAGGCATGGTCCCTTGATTACATTTTCTATTCCCTTCAGTCTTAGTACCAGAAGAGGAGATGCAGAAGAATGAAGAGGACAGTGTCCTGAAACATCCAAATATCTGGCACCTACAATGCACCATTCCCCAGCCATCTCCCACCTCCTCTTCAAGGAATTTTAAAAACTGCTTCTCCCTAAGAGCAAGAGAAGTGGCTGCTGACTACCCTATTTATAGTAGCTGAGTAAAGTCAGAGCAACTGATGACAAAGGGCCTGGAGGCAGCTGTCCCTTCAAAGGTCTGGATATCCAATGGCAGACACAAGTTCATCCTCAGAGACTTCAGAGACAGCTATGGCATTAGGCATACAAATGAACCCATGCTCTCTAAAGCCCTCTTCACCTTTCCTAGCTGACTGCAGGCCTCTGACCCTATAGACAGGTACTATCTGTTTTGTGTTCCTGCAACAAACAACTGCTCAAGGCTCCATGCATGGCCATGTTGCTCCCACCTCGGGCCTGTATGAATTGCCTTCCTGAGCGCCCGCAGCTTCCTTTCATAGGACCATCTCCCCTGAGCTGAAGCTTTAAGACTGAAGCTTTAAGGCAGATTGATGTTTGGCCTAGTATTTTTTGTTGGAAGTCCTAGGGCAAATCTCATCTTCACTGGGTGGTAGCTGTGAGATGCAGTAAGCTCACATCTAAGATGCTCAGCACAAGTGGCACACATAACTGCCTCCCCTACCAGGCCTGACTGGGAATATCCATTACTGAAGTGGCACTATATTGAGACAAGCCCTGGCCTTTCTCCAGGAGTCTGTGACCTCTTTTAGGGAAGGACCCTATGTTTCATCTGTCTATCCAGCACTGGGCCTAGAGCCTCACACTGAGCAGATGATCTGTGGATGTTGGCTGTGCTTCCATCAACCACAACACGCTGCAGCAGGGAGTTTCAAGGATTTTCTCTACCTTCGTCCCTGGAAGTGCACTTGAGTGTAGCGGGTACTGTGCAGTGTGGTACGCAGAAGCTGAGGCAGGGGGGCGCAAAGTGGTGTGCCAGCACTGACTCTTCATTTAGACTGCCAGTCAGGATGGAGCTCTGCAACTCATTCTGTGGACTTCCAGGAAAGAAATGGGGGTGGGGGGGAGGAGCCAAGGGTCTGACTGACACCAGGCTTCTGTTCTAACACACTATTCCTTGGGCCCAGAAGTTCAATGTATCACTGAATGGGAATGGAACTAAATCAGAGATCTTGGTTAAGGAACAGCTGAGGCATCCAACCCTGCCAAGCCCCGGGAAGGGAAAAGTATAGGGAAAGGAAGCCTGCTGAGTCCAAAAAAAAGGGCATGTTCTGTTAGGCTGTCACAAAGATAAAAAACACTTGTTAATCTAGTCCACATTTGAAAACTGGGAGATTTCACATCCCAATCCCTCTTTCAGTAAGCAGCTGGAGCTGAATAGAACTGTCTCTTCTATGAGCCAGGCAATCCTCTCTACTTGCTTCTGCCTCCTCACACTTTGTTCTTATTGTGAACAGGCTCTGCTTTTTCCAAGTGGACCAAGAGCAGTGGCATCTCTTTTGAATGTCCTATGGTCCCCATGCAGGCAGAATCTCTTCATGCCTGGCTGACTCCCCATGCCTGGCAGCATGGCCCCACAACCCACCTCTCCCCAGTCCTGAGGTGGCGCCTGTAATCACCACCACAGCGTTCCGCAGGTAAGCCTTTGTGCGCATCCATTGCAGCAGCCAGAAGAGGCCAAAGGTGCCCAGGGAGCCAAACAGCAGGGACAGGACGGTTGTAGAGGTGATCAAGTCCATGACCCGACCCTTCAGCAGACTCTTCCTGGAAGAACCAAATCAGATCAACCAGTAACAAAGAAGGAAAATTCAACGACTTGCCCTAACTGATGCAAATCCCAGATCTCCCTCTGCAGACCTCAGCTCTGATCCCCCAACTCTGAACCCTCCAGATTCTGCATGCCACACTGACTGCTCAGCGGGGGACACTTGTTTCCTCTCACTCTAAACTGACATGATCACACAGCAGAGCCACAGGCCTTACAATGCCCCAAGAATAAGCTGAGAGTCATTCAGCTTAAGACTCAATGACCTGGCCAGTGTCACAGGTAGCAGAAGCATATCAGCACTCACCTGATTCTTCTTGGGAAACCTGCTTTGGGGAACTTACGTAGTCTCCCTTTTCATTTTCAATCTCTGAGTATTTGTGAAACAAACAAACAAAAAATTTAAGGAAAAGGGAAACCATACCAATTCTTACACTCCACCAAGTGGAGAGTGGGGGATGGATGTTTCTGAGTGGGGCATTTCCTAGATGCTATCCAGAATGACCACAAATGATTCTGACCATAGGCCTCCCAGACATTCTACAGGAAGTAAGTAGAGCTGCCCTGTGCCCCATGTTAGCATAGACTCAGGCTGGTAAGTATGTTGTCCTGCCATGCATGCTGACAGCTTCTCAGTTAGTATTCTCTTCTAGTGAGCCACGGTTGGCCACATGAAATCAGGAAACCACGTGTTTGTACAACAATATGCAGTCAATTATTAGAAACCACATCCATCTTGTCCACAGCTGCCTTTATTTCCTTATTTCCTTTGAACCTCCCCAGCTCCTTATCACTTATCCAGAAGCCAGTGCCCAAGACACCAGCTAAGTGAGGAGACAAGGAGGTGAAGGAAGGGCAAGTGTGAGCTACTGAGGATGTCACCACATTCTGTCACTGTGAAAGAAATGTCCTGTAAGAACACATGAGAAGCAGGCCATAGACCTTAGATAAAGGTCCCCCATAGCCCACCTCCAGGACTGTGGTAGTACAGGTGCAGTAATCCTCTGCAGGAAGAGACTGGAAACCAAGAATAGAGCTCTGGTAAAACAGCCAGCTTTAAATTATTCATCAGCTTGGGAACAACTATGTAAAACTTTCATCCACCTACTAACATCCCATCTCCACAAGCCCACATATTAAAAAATTATTTTTCTGCTTTTTTCCCAAGGTGACAGCAACTCTATGGAAGCTGTGAAGCCAAGAATACTGCATATCTCCAGCACGTATCACTTGTGTACTAAGTTGCTTTGATCCTCAGGTTCACAGTCAAGGTGGCTGTCCTATCTAAGCTAAACTGCTCCACTAAGGAGGGTTGTGCTCCAACTTGAACTGTCACTTCAACTAAAGTTTAGTATTTAATTTCTCACCCACCTTTCCAAATACACCTAAATTATTCTTCACCATAAAAAATGTAACACTCTTAGGCTATAAAAACAACTGTTCCCCATTAATGGCCACTTTACCCACTTGTAAATTGGCTACCATCTGCTAAGTGGCTGTATCGCCCTCTCTTATACACTGTGCCAGCACTATAGTGGATGAACTGAGAGTTAGAGTGGCATTTAAAGCATCATGATCTTTACCCGGGTGTTACTGGCATCATCCCTGCCCTCAACAGGAAGTTCTGAGTTCCTTGCTACAGGCCATGCCAGTCCCAAGCAGATACTGGAACACAAGGATCCTGTGACTGGCACCTGGGAAATGCTCAGTAAGGTTTAGATCCGGCCCCAGTGCCTATTCCATGCTGGGATTCTGCGGGTGCTGCTTGGGTCCTTCACAACCCTAGCCCCAGGAAAAAACAAGGATGTGGGAGAGTTTCCCAGGGAGTAGGAGGGTAATTGTTAGGGGTAGGAAGAATTGCAGGTTTGTTGGTATAGCTTTACCAAATCATTTAGCAAATGACAAAGCATCAGTAGACCCCCAGGTAAGTACAGCTCTCATGTAATAAATTGGAGACAGGGATTTCAACCCAGCTGGATGCTTATTTGGGGAAAGTTCTTCTCTCATTGCAACCCCAGGTCCTTGTATCAGCAGGTGTCAGGGTGGGACCACACTGCCTTGCCCAGAATGGCCTGGGACCCAGCCGCTTCCCAGGATAAGCAGGAAGGTAGAAGGGGTGGGACACTGCTCAGGGAAGGACAGTAGGGCTTGGTCTCTGGGGCAAGGATCAGAGCTCCCCTAAGTCAGTTAAATGGAAATCACTCTTCACACCCTTCCATGGGTCCTGGTAGAGTTGGCCCCATTTCAAACACAACCTGGAGCTCAGCCGCAACTTTGCCCAAGACCCTAGGGATCAAGCACCAAGCATGTAACGTGTCACTTCCCCAAATTCAGAGGCTCCAGAGACCACCTAGAAAAGCAGTGTGTGGCAATGGCAGTGCAGGGGTCCTGACAATAAACCCCCAAGGCAGTCTGGCTGGTGTCCCATCCTTCCCCAGCCATTTATCAACCTAGGGAAGGAACCCTCACTGTCTTGTCTCTGAGGTGAGGGTATAGAAATCCAACCCCAGCTCTGTCAACAGTTTGGATGAATTAATCTGTGTGCACAACCCTGGCTCAAGGAAGTGCTCAGGGAATTCAGGTACCAGCAGCAGTGTGACCCACACCTCAGAGCTCCTGGCCCAGGAAGTAGCTTCACAGCAATCTGATTTCCAAGCATCCCTGGTTTATGAACACTGGTTCTTTCCAAACAAAAGAAATTCATTAAACATAGGATTTAATGTAATTTAATTTTTATGCTTTTATAAACCCTTCAACTTAATTAATAAATAGGAAAAAAAACACAATTTGTTAGAAGAAGCCAGGCCAGTGCAGCAGAGAATACAGACAGGCACTGAACTGTCTCCCCAACCCTTTGCACACCCAGGGAGAAGCAGGAGGAAGGCAAACAGGCTCAGCAAGGCCTCAGAGGTAGTGGGAAACAATGAAAGAACACAACAAATTGCATTTTCATGCCATTAATCAAAACTCAAGCTAGCAACCTATGACATGAAGAGAGAAAGCTACACACCTTGTAGCTTTCTGGGATTCCGTGAGCACCTGACACAACATTGCAGGCCAGCGTTTGTTCCCCAGCCCTGAGGACCACTTTGCCTGGGGCAAAGATGGTACAGGATTAATGGGATCCATCCTCAGCCTACAGTCACTGTCTGTGGGGAAGAGCACACAGCTGCATTCAGTCTGCCAAGTTGTAATAGAACAGAATGCACAGTAAATGCAACATTAGTGTCGACTCTCTTCCCCAGATGACACAGTGATACAGTGAGAAAAGACACCCCAGAGGAAGCCATTTACTTGAGAATCAGGTTCAATTTCAGCATAATTGTCCTGACCAGGTGAAACTTCAAATTGTAATCCTGACTCTTTCCAAGAGTTTTTCAAATTCTTTTTTTGTTTTTTTCAGTACTCAGGCTTGAACTCAGGGCCTTCACCTTGAACCACTCCAACAGCCCAATTTTTGTAAAGGGCTTTTCGAGATAGGGTCTCAGGGAACTATTTGCCTGGGCTGTCCTCAAACCACAATCCTCCAGATCTCTGCCTCCTGAATAGCTAGGATTGTAGGTGTGAGCCACAGGTACCTGAGTTTTTCAAATTCTTAAGACTTCCCAACACATTCCATTCAGCAGTGAATGTGTTCATACCGATGGGCTCCCAGCTCCTGGGCCACCTTGGGCTCTCAGGAATAGCTATACTAAGATGGATGGACAAGAAAGCTAGACAGGGACAGCCCCACTGCTGTGATGTGGCATCTAGGGCCCTTCTGCTAGCAAAGGGAACTACTGCAAAGTGGAAGAAGGGAATTGTGACCTAAATGGCCACATTTTCAGATCAGAAAATAAATCTCCTACATAAAGCAAGATCTAAGGCATGCCTGTCTTGGAAAGACTTTAGTATACTTATAAGTTATGTGTTTTATACCAAAATGCTTACTGATTGCCAGTTTCAGCATATGGCAGATCATGGATTGAGGACGGAGTGGGAAAAAGTATCTTGATCATGATTTTCAGCATTTGGAGATGAACTGCCAGGAAGAAGGATACAGTCTGCCGAGAGCTATTTTGAACCACAGCAGGAAGCAGGACAAGGACATGAGGGGAGAGAAGAGTGAGGTGAGAAAAAGAAGACAGAGACATCATCCTTGATAGCAACCACAGCACACACATCATCCAGATGTAAGGAGACACTGTCTGTATATGCAATGTGTGTGCTCCATGGTCATGTCCACTCTTCATTGCCAGGAAAAGGACTTGAGGCATGAGCTTGCACTAATGAGTGACATAGAATGGCCTAAGGACGTGAGAGAACTCAGAGGTTCACACTAAGCCTGTCTGCTTGTATTTTCACAAATCACAAGAGAGTGAGCTCTAGACCTCCATTAAAAAGAGTATAAAGGGAGGAAAGTCCCAGAAAGGGTGTTCCTCAGGCCCAGAGAGTTCATGGATTCTCAGATTCAGCTGCTCCCTTATTTTCCATCAAGAGGTTCTTCTCAAAGGCTTCCAGAATCTCAACATAGAAATGAAATTATCAAGCCAGGCACCAGTGGTTCGTGCCTGTAATCCTATCTACTTAGAAGGATTTCAGTTTGAGGTCAATCTGGGCAAACTATTCATGAGAACCCCATCTCCAAAATAACCACAGTAAAATGGACTGGAGGTATAGCTCAAAAGGCAGAGTACCTGCTTTTGCAAGCAGGAAGTCCTGAGTTCAAATCCCAATCCCACCAAAAGAGAGAGAGAGAGAGAGAGAGAGAGAGGTTGATTATCACCACAAAATCAACTCTGAGCAGAAATGCCACCCTTTAAGCTATTTATTCCATTTCTGTACTTTGGCCAAAATTGTGATGCACACATAGCATATGTTCCTAAGATTCTTTTCTTTTCTCAAGCAATTTAAAAAACTGAAACATCAATAAAAACAGGTAGTTGGAACCTACTAAAAAATGACACAAAAATTAAACTACATCAAGAACCAAAGGAAGGGACCCAAGAACCCTCCAAAGTTTAAAAACTAATCAGTCCAGCTCTGATAGGATGAGTCATGAAATAATGTGCTGTTATAAGAAAACAAGGCTACAAAGGCAGAGAGGGTTCCAACTAGAAGGTGAGATAGTGAAATCTCTAGGCATCACCAAAAGCAGGAAGGGTCCCATCCCAAAACTTCCACTTCTTCTATTGCATACTGATGGTTTGTTCTAATTAGCTGATTCATTTAAAAGGACATAAGTTACAGGTCATTGCTGAAAATAGATACGAATTTTCAGCAACTAAAGGCAAAGTAAAGCTGCTGTTTTCTCACTTCAAGTGTCTGAGAAGAGCAGCCAAGGTTGTCTCCAACTAGACAGAAAGAACAGTCTAGTCTAGTCTCCAACTAGACAGAAGAACCTTGGAGGGCAACTACTATGCCAGTGGCGGGTCCTTGTGCCAGTGTCTCTTCACCTACACCAATGACTAAGATATGGTCAGGACAGCAGGACCTCCCTGGAATGCTGGAACAAGCCACTGGTGAGTGGCCTATGGGATAGATATATCTTGGGATGCCAGCCTGAGGATTCCTGCTTTAAAGAAATGCAGGCTGGCACCACTAAAAACAAAAGTGGAAGGAAGTCTGGAGGATACTTTGAACTGAGGCTCCCAAGTGCTCAGTCCTGAGATGAACAACCTGGTTGAGGTGAGCTCTACTCTCCAGGAAAACACTGAACATGTTTCCCAGAAACCCCTGCCAGAGAGAGTGGGAAAAGAGGACTCAGCCCCAGTCCCTGCCACACAGCCACGTGGAAGCACAGTGACCACAAGGAGACAGAGAACCCTTTGGAGGCTGAGCATCCATTCAGTCCAAAGTGTCAGCTGTCAAGTTTTTAAACCCAGCACCGACTATGGCTACTTGAGGACTCTGACAAACACAAAAACTGGGGTATCAAATGTGCTTTTTGAACTGAATTTAGTGTTACTGAAGATGCTGAAATGAGTTCAGCCTCTTTGCTAGAAAACACACAAGAGCTGCAAATCCCTGTAGATAGAAACTAGTAGACAAGGCACTTTGCAGTAGTGAAGGAGAAAAATACCAAGGTCAGCACCAGGGATCAGGGTTCAAGGCCACCCTGTGTGTAGTTAGTATGTATGTGACACAAATTTATTCATCTACAACTAAGTGTCTCCTATCAAAATAGATCATTCCAATGAAAAAACCCACCAGATAGCGCTTTGTAAATGTACATGTCCTGAACACATTGCTGCTGACTAGTACACAGACTGAAAAAGGCAATTCCCAGAGGGCAACCAAGGGAGCAGCTTTCAGGGCTCTTTATGTGTAAAATGGCCAGTAAAAAGACAAACATGTAAAAACTGCGTCTTTACATTTCTTTCCTTCTTTCAGTCAGATAACAAATATTTACTGAGTCCCATTAAGGATATGAGGCAAGGGTCACTTCATGAATAACAAGACCCAGACCCTGCTGGTACAGTGTTTTTGGACTACGGCAGTGAAGAGAATTAGGCAGTAAACAAAACACTGGATTGCCATGCAGCAAGGACTACAAGGAAACGAACCAATGCTATTTTAAGCACGCAGATAATCTGGTCGTTTGTGGTGCTTTCCCCCCACTAAAATGCCTGGGAACCGTTTCATAGGTAGCACTAGGTGTGAGAGAAGGAAGGGACCTCATTATTAAACTTCACAGCAGGCAAATTCAGGGAGATTTGTAGCAGGAATAAAAGTGCAACAAAAACCAACTTTAGTTTCTGATGGTTTTCTAGGTTCTAGTTGTTTGTTTTTTGGTGGTGCTAGGGGTTAAACCCAGGGCTTCAGACATGCTAGTCAAGTGCTGTACCACTGATGTGTTTTCTAAAGTTAAATTGGAATACAGGTGTAGTGGTAATCCCAGTACTCAGAAGGTACAGGCAAGAGGATGACAAGTTCGGTGCCAGCCTGGGTGGGCTACACAGTGAGTTTGAGGCCATCCTGGGGTACACAGTGAGGCCCTGTATCAAAATACAAAAGAAAAAAAAGTTAAGGTGAACTATGGTCCTTCAAAAAGTACAACAGAAAGACTTTCAGCAGAAAGACTCAAGAAGTCAAGAACAGGCTGGAGGCTTGAACTTAGCAAGGCCCTAAGTTCAAACCCCAGTACTGCTAAAAAAAAAAAAAAAAAGTTAAGAACAGAACTGACAAGTCAAGGAGTAATTGTCCTCGTAGTGTCCTGACAGTCTACCAAAGCTGTCTCTTTCAAATTTAACTCAATATTTACAATAAACCTATATTTATCAATGCTCAATAAATAGTAAATAATGCCTTCATTGTAGCAAACATTTTTTCAGTGCTAAAGACTTTGGCAAATTGGAGGCAGCAGAAAACCTGGGTCTCTGGGGGTTTGCTCTTGCCGCCTGTCTGCCCTTATAACTCCTCTTCAGCCTGCACCTCCTACTTGGGCATCTTCGCCTCCCTGAAGCTTTACAAGATACCCAGTAATCCTGGCCTCTATACCTGGACAGGGGTAAGCACCAAAGACTTCCCATACAGCTGCCTCCCTCCCCAGACGGCAGTTCTCTGAGAAGAGAATTTGGCTTTTCATTCTCTCTCCCACACCTTTTATGTAGTAAGAACTCCATAAATGTTTGTTGAATAAGACTGAATCACAGAGATAAACTACTCCAGTCCCCTTGTATTGTAGAAAACACTGGAGCCCAGATATGCTGCTTTATTTGCCTACACTCACTCAGTAATGAGCAGAAGCTCCAAACCCAAAGCTTACTACTTGCCAGTTGCCCTAAGAAAACCAAACATTCCTACAGCCTCGTTTCTGGAAAAGATCACTAAAACAAATAAAAGTCGAGTCACATCCCAGAAAGAATTAAACATTAAATGTTACTTCAAGTAGTCTCATGACTGAAATCAGATTATCCCAAATTCCAAGAAACTACTGTCTTGGTTTCCTCATAGATTCAGATACCCCATTTGCCTTACTGTAATTATCTAGGATGATAGTTCACCATGAATTCCAAGTTATTTTTAGAACTGAAAAAGCACGATTGTGAAACTTAACTAGGCAATGTCCTTCACTCTGAAGGACTTTTTTTTTTTTGGTAGTTCTGTGGTTTGAATTCAGGGCCTCCACCAGCCACTCC